CAGTCCAGCTAACCATTACAGACTCGTCAATCTCGCCATACCCACTCCCGTAAGGTTCAAAAAGTCGGCCATGCCTTTTATACAGATGGAGAACATCTCCCACTTCCTCCGAGCCTGCGAACAGCCGCCGCTGAATATGCCCGCACACGACCGCTTCCTCACTGTCGACCTATACGAGTCAAAAGACCCAGCCCAGGTGCTGCAATGTCTCAGCGCCTTCAGCCGCGTCGCCAATGCAAGAAACCCCTCCAACTTTCCTACCACCATCGGCCCTAAGCGCGGCGGAGCTGGTGCATTGAGCCCTTCAGCGACTGGAGGAGGCATGACAAGTCCTGGCATGCCACCGCCGTCTCCCGGCTATACACGTAGCCGGGGGCCCAGCACAGCCAGCAATACCAGCGGCTCTAGCACATTCAATCCCCTGGCGCGGCCGCCTGCTGAGAGGACACTGAGTGCGGCGCGTACCGGGGGCTCAGACACATCCTACACTTCTAACGGTCTCCCCAAGTCACCTCCGGGCGGAGTCAGTAGCTGGAGCAAGAAGGTTGACGAAGGGAGCACAGCACCGGCATGGAACATCCACCAGTACGGCTACATGGGTGGCGCGAGTCAGGGTAACCAGGGCATCGCATTCGGCGCACGCCGGCAGATCACGAGCGCAGGTCCGCACGTGCCGAACATGGCTGAGAAGGAGCGCCTGCGACGTGAGAAGGCGGCCGAGGAAGAGAGGCTACGATTACTAGCCGAGGAGGCCGAAAACAAACGCCGCATCGAGCGCGAGGCTGAAGAAGAACGCATACGCCTCGAGGAAGAGCAGAAGTGGGAAGAGGAGACCCGCAAGCAGCAAGAGGCCAAGCAAGCGCGCCTCGACCAGCAGAAGCGCGAGTGGGAAGAGCAGGAGCGCCAATGGAAGTTAGATGAAGAACTCCGGCAGCGAGAAGAACGAGAACAACAAGAGCGGATAGAGGCTGAGACGCGACGGAAGCGTGCTGGGAGCGACGCCAGACTCAAGGGACAATACCTTAGCCAGTACCAAGCCGAACAAGTCAGGTCACCGCGCAGTCGGCGGGGAAGCAGCGAAGAGCCCAATGCCGAGCGCGAACGCATACGAGAGTTGGAGCGCCAGCTCGAAGAAGCCAAAGAGCGCGAGCGGCAATACCAAGCCGAGCGCGAAGGACGTCTCCAAGACAAGAAAGTGCGATCGAGAAGTAAGAGCCGTACGCGCGAGCGGTCCAAGAGTCGAGCCCGTCCACAACCTCCACCGCGCGCTCCGAGTCCGCAAGATAGCAACGTATCCTGGGCGCAAGCAGACGACCGTGAGTATCTACGCAAACAATGGGATCAGACACAACGACAACCCGCGCGCCCCCTGCCCGAACCCACACCACCATCCCTTCCCACCCGCCCACTTCCAGAGCCAACAACGACACGTCCGCTTCCCGATCCAGCCGCATACACACAGCAGAAGCAAAGCCGAACGGACCGCTATCTTGCATCAAACCCTCCTCCTACAGCACCTAAGCCGCAGACGTACATTCCCCCCGAACTAACTTCGACCTCCGAGCAACGTGGCGAAGACGCACGTCGCGCCGCCGCGCAGCAGAAGACTAAGAACGCGGGATGGGCGAGTAAATCTCTCCTCGAGCGTGAGATGGAGCGCGAGAGGGAGAGACAAAAGGAATGGGAGGAGAGTCAACGCGCGCTGCAGGAGGCGGCCAAGGATCCCAACGCGGGCACAGGAGGAGGCCAAAGTTGGGATGTGAATCAGTATGGGTACATGGGTGGTGACAATCAGAACAGGCTTGGAGGTATTGGCGCAGGGAAGAGGCAGATTGTTGGACCGAGGTTGGGGGGGCCTAGGCCTTTTGGGCGGAGGGCTGAATAGAGAAAGACTATTGGACGGGTTTTTTCGTTTGTTTGGATGGCAGAGGACAAAAGTAGTGGTTAGAGGGGTTTTCATTTGTCCGGTGGGAGAGAGATATTTTCGAGGTGTTGCATGTTAGCGCTGCGTACTCGGAAGTGTATACGCGGTTAATATATTAATTTCTAAACATTTTGAAATCATGTCCATCTTCTTTGTGATACTACCATAGGGATTCTAGTGGTAAGAGTGCCATTTAGATTACCACCAGAAAAGCCCGAGGTGAGCATTATTGCACCCAGTTTCTCTAAGTGGAGGGAGCTTTGTTGTTGTCGCTTGGAATGGCGGCAGTACCCGCGCAAGCAGGCGATGTCAGCACTGTAATTTCACCACTCTTGACCGGCTGCAACACTACACCTGCATGTGCCAGACATTAAGCCGCAAGACTCACCGACGTACGATTGAACGCTCTCGAGTCGAATCTTCTATCGACAATCTGCAGGGAAAGAGGCACGCATAGGGCAAATGAGAATAGAGGCGACTTGCGGGTTGGTGGCAAAAGGATTTGGCAAAACCTCGGGATGATGAGGACCGAGTCAAGCAATGAGGAGTGCGGGACTAAACAGGCAGCTTCTCCGCAGTTGGGAGAGATGTTCTTGAAACGCTGCCTTGTAAAAGCCATAGCTTTTGATCTGCACAGATATGCGAGTTGCTGACAGTGTACGGGCCATTTCTTCAATCCGGGCTTGTATGCACAGTGCGATCGACCAGTGGGAAACACCGTTTGGTGTCTGCTCGTGCCGGTTCATTATGATGATATAGTAGGTGTACTGCCATAAGTAGCAGCGATGAATCGCTCTGCTACGCTCTCCAGTAGGCCAGCACAGCTCTTCAGTGCTCTTCCTGGTTCATATTCGTACCTAGCACCATGGTCTCTCTCAGCTTCTTCCTCATCGGTTCTCTCCTCAACCTCGTTTCTCTTGGATTCCCCACTGATGAACCTCGCGCCTCAAATGGCTTCTCCGAGCAATGCACTTCCGTAGCCACCAAATTCCACATTCCGCAGGCAAACATCTCATTCACCGAGTTCGTCGCTGCCAACACGACGCTACAATTTCCCAACGCCGATCCGTCATGCACTCGTCCCTCGCAAGCAGTCTCAGCCAACATCTGCCGCGTCGGCTTGAGCGTCAAAACCTCGGCTACCTCTGGCATCAGACTGGAAGTCTGGCTTCCCCAGAACTGGACTGGTCGCTTCTTGAGCACCGGGAACGGGGGCCTTGGTGGGTGTATCCAGTACGAGGATCTTGACTATGCAGTGTCACTAGGCTTCGCGTCTGTGGGCACGAATAATGGACACGAGGGGATGACGGGCGAGTCGTTTCTCAACAACACTGGTGTGATTGAGGACTTTGCGTACCGTGCTGTGCATACTGGTGTAGTCGTTGGGAAGCAAGTGAGCGACACCTTTTATGGCAAAACACACTCGAAGAGCTACTATCTGGGCTGTTCCACGGGCGGAAGACAAGGTTTCAAAGCCGTTCAATCGTTCCCCAACGACTTTGACGGTGTCGTCGCTGGCGCGCCTGCATTCTCCTTCAACAATCTTACCTCCTGGAGTTCTGGCTTCCTACCTCTTACCGGGAGTCCAGAGTCTGCGACCTTTGTCCCTCTCGAAACGTGGCCCATCATCCATCAGGACATGCTGGCACAATGCGACATGCTCGACGGCGTGGCAGACGGTATCCTCGAATCGCCCGATCTGTGTCATTACGACCCGGCCGGCCTTCTCTGCACATCGGGTCGAAACGCGACATGTCTTACCGCAGCTCAGGTACAGACAGTCCGCAGGTCCTACGCGCCTCTCCTTGACGCTGACGGCAGCCTGATCTACCCACGCCTCCAGCCTGGTGCCGAGGGCACAGAAGCGCCCTTCACGCTGTTCACAGGCCGCGCATTTGGCGCCTCGGATTGGTTCAAATACGCCGTTCTAAACGACACTTCGTGGGATCCTAGTACCCTCTCTTTAGCCGACATGCGTCTCTCCGCGCATCTCAATCTAGCCGACATCGAAACGTGGAACGGCGACCTCTCGGCGTTCAAAGCAGCGGGCGGGAAACTACTGCACTATCACGGTCTCGTAGACGGCGTCATCACAAGTGAAAACTCGCCGCGGTACTATGAACATGTTTCCACTACGATGCAGCAGACGCCTGCTCGGCTGGACGACTTTTACCGCTTCTTCCGTATCTCGGGTATGGCGCACTGCGGTGGTGGGCCGGGTGCGAGTCGTATTGGAAATCAAGCTAGGAACTCGGCGGGCTTGGATCCGGAGCATAATGTTCTCATGGCGATGGTAAGGTGGGTGGAGGAGGGTGTTGCGCCAGAAGTCGTTGTGGGGACTAGGTTCAAGAATGGGACGACGGCTGGGAGTGGTGTGGATTATAAGAGGAGGCATTGTAAGTGGCCGAAGAGGAATTTGTACAAGGGGTTTGGTGATTATAAGGATCCGTTGAACTGGGGCTGTACCTAGCACCACATTCAGAAGAGAGGCTTGACGTCTCATAAGAGCAGGGTACTTCATCCTACTCTGGTCTAGGACATGAAGAGATATATAGATGTAAATCAAGAATCCATAAGTCTATAGTACTATTAGTCTTTGCGATTTTCACTATCAGAAGCCAATGTATGCTGCGAAGCAAAACTTGATATCTCTATACCTGTTCGGTTTGTCCTTTGTATAGGGTGATGCCGTCGACAATGACGGCGGAGTGAGGCGAGGATAACGAAGGCTTTCTTTTCCTTGACCCGTCAGATATCTTGCAATAGGACACAAAGACCGCTGAGGCAGCGACATTAGTTGTACGATCGCATAATAACCACCGCAGTGCCATAACTTAGATTTTCCAAGTACGCTATACTTCGGCCGCGTTCGGGAAATCAAAGTCGCTGACCAGATTGCCAAAAGCGTCATCCTCATTTCCCGTATGCAGAAATGCGTCAAAGTCAAAGTTGTTCATCGCACCATCGCCGTCGCCGAAATTAAAGGGACATCATTACTGTTAGGCTATATGTTTTATCAGCAAAAAGCACTCCTTTACTCATAATGGACCTGGCACTTACGTGACCTTCAATGTTGCTAAATGAGGGTATCTCTGCGTGAAACAATTCGAGGAGGCACTCTGGCACCCGGGGTAGGTGACTTACTACCCGCGAGCTTTGCACGCTTCTTCTCAGGCAATACAAGGTTCGGCACTGGCCTCGCGCCCTCGAAGTAGTGTGCTGCTCCGTGACCCGAATCAGCTCCGATGGCAAACGGCGGAGCACCTTTGTCCACAGGTCGGTCGGTTGTGGTTTCCTGGAGAGTACGGAGATTTTGCGCACTCAGAGTTTGCGCACCCTCGTATCGTCTCTTAGGCGCTGGGGTTGGTGTTGGTGGTGGTCCCAGATCTTCACCTCGTTCTCTTCGGGCGTCTGCCTACAGACACGGATAACAAAGTCAGTGTATGTCTCACGTGCATCTTGTACTATTGCAACCTACCTCTTTTGCACTCTGCTCTAGATATAGCTTGCCACTTTCTACGAGACGCGAATAGTGGTTTTTAATCATGGTTCTCGTCTTGGTGCCCATGTAACGTGCGATTGCTTCAAAGTCTGTGCCGAAACATGCGATGTTTTTGTCAATATCCTACAGCTCGGTGACGCTCCAATAGCTGGACAGGCCAGATTTGTCCCTGGGTTTGTCTGTCAAATCGGCGTTGACGTCAGACGCAGAAGACCTATCCCGTGTGCCCCTCACCTTTGCAGGTATAAGAAGAGTATTTGACTGGCTGTGATGTTTGCGCGTATGTGCATTGAGTGCGCTTTTGTTTGCAAAGCCGATGCGGTTATACTGACAGGATTCTGTCTGACAGTAAACGCGTTGTATATAAACAGCTTCATGCTTGAGTTAAGATTCTGCGGTGGCAAACCCTACGGACAGCCTGTCGCACTGTGGAAAGCGGCAACGGAAAGCTGTGGATGCATAGAATTCTTGGAACGCCAAGAGAGTTGATGTCGTGATACCATTGACTTCGCGTTGCTCCAGAAGATGCACGATCGCGCTCTCGTATGCTTGTGAAAGTCTACTGAAGAGTGTTCGGTCTCGCTCGATGATGTAAGCCTCGATACCTAAAATTCGTCTTGTGAGCTCATGAGTAACTTTTCATTGCAGCAATCCATCAAATCTGAACTTACCTACGCTCCTGTCGTCATTTTCTTGGCTAGCCAATTGTCTAAGTTGCAGCACGTCTGCCATCAGTCCATAGATCGGCATGTCGGAAAACAGCTCAAGTCGTTCATCTCCATAGCTAAAATTGGTCTCTATCTGCGTGGCAGTCTGAACTACGTTGCAACCCACTGCATGCAAAGAGCCTTCATGCTTTTCGTACAGTTGTTCTAGATGATACTCAATCACCCGATCTAGGCCGAGATTTTTCCTTTCCGATGCGTACTCCAGGCAATGTTCGATCTAAAACTCTAGACTGTACGGTAAAAGCCTATGATGACCACTCACAATTCTGGCAAAGTTCGTCACAGAGCTACTGTCCACACACAAAAGATCGAGACTGCGCGTAATTACCACCACGCAAGCAGACGATATATCGAGCGCAGAATCGATCGCTGGGATGATCTGCGGCTTGTGAGACTTGAGGAAATACCTGTTGAACTGTTACACATCATGCGCTTATCTCATGAGCATATTTGGTTTACGTACTCTTTCACTGAGAAATGCACCGGTATTATCGTTGAATCCAGTAATTCTTCGATGAGTGGCTTGCAGTGATCAAGAATGGAAGTGACAGGTATATCCTGCACCCGAGAACCAGTGTTATGTGGCAAGATGGACAGTACCTGTGGTAGCTCTGACTTGTGCAGAGTCCTTCGTGCGGAACACACCAAGCCCATGACACGAGATACACCTCCATGACTATGAGCACCTGGGGCGCTACAAAGACGAGAAAAAGCTTTTCGTAGAGTTCTTCAAGATCAGAGGCTGACCCACAAAAACATACCTGTGCTAGTTTTAGAACACAACTTGTCAATGAGCAGTTTGGGCAGAGATCACCATGAGACTTCTCGATAAGAGTCTTTTTGACACACGCCATAATGGACGCATCAGGATCGAGCTCATCGAAGTGATCAGGAAGATCAGAGAGTTTACTCTCGACGAAATTGGCGATTGAGCGAGAGATCGCAAAACATACGTCACCATTGCTAAGAGAAATTGTCGTTACCGGTTTGTTCTTCCTGCGCAAAGACAGCGAGATCTCGATAGTCGCTCGACTAGCAACCAAGATCTTGCATGTGTGGGAGGATTGATCAACCGAAACTATCTGCGAAAGATCGTGGAGGACGTCCTTTTGATCCCGCGAGGCCCATTCGTCAATACCATCTACGATTAGCCGCACAGAGCCCATCCCTCGAAGTAGTTCGAGAAGAAGATCCATTAATGCTTTTTTTGTTGGCACTGGGTGAGCTAAAAAGTAAACGTCGTGGACGTAAATTGCAAGATCCTGGTGTTTTTGGATCACTTGCGAGATGATCGAACGCAGTAGACGGCTTGGGCGGCAGATCGGACCATCGGCGTTGCTTCGGAGAGAGCTGCAGAAGTAGTAGAACACATGGACGGAATTATCTTCGGCATGTTGTACAAGAGCAGAGCATATCACGGATTTTCCTTGAGACGGATAAGCAGGTAACAAGCCACAATGATACATGAACATACCCGCCCCCGGCTTTCCGCATAGCCATAGAAGGGGGTTTTTCATTACATCCTTTAGCCATAGCTGCGTTTCTTTGTGTTGTATGAACCAATCGCAACTATCAGGCAGGTGATTTTGAAGGTGCCGCTCGCGTATATCGGCTGGCATAGTATCGTTTGTCTCAAGCCAGGTATCGCGGCAACGACCGGAGCTGAAAACCAAAACAAGCATGAATCCGTTGTAGTTTTAGGTACAATTTGCTAGAGCTGTGCCTGCATCGTCTGAACTGGGCGCTTGTGCACAGACAAACACTCGAGCATCATAGGACCCTAAATCTACACTTTGCCATAAAGATCTTTCTGCTACATCGATCAAGGGTGTAGATAACATCATCGGTGTGAACATTGGGCAAGGATTCAGATTCGGAGACATTGATTGGTCGTCTAAGCGCCACTACGCTAATTGAGCAGTAGCGTGGGCGCCTCCTCGAAACCTTAACGCCATTGTACGGCAATTGTTTCACATATCTCACGTGCATAAGTTGGGATTTTGAAACAGCCTGCCATATGTTACGTGATTTGCAATTTCGCGGAGGATTCTCAACGGATACCAAGGCACAAACTTTTGCACAGTACGACTGGAAAAACGACCCACAGCATGCGAATTTAGCGCTCACATGCTCTCTGTGATCTATATTACAGTTACGCTTCCCTTCTACCGCTCTTGTACACGTTTCTTTACGTTTCATCATGTCTCTGTATCTTCTTCTCGTCATATACCAAATCGCCAGCACGACCGGTTACTGTTATAGCCGCAATGGTACCACCCTTCTCAACCCAGCCTTTCAACCATGCAGCAATGCAACAACATATTCTGCATGCTGCATGACGAATCATAGCGGTGCTGGAGACGTCGGTGTCGCAGACGATGTGTGCATGGAGAACGGCCTTTGTCAGAACTTCGCGTCATTCAATGGAAAGAATGAAGGTGTCCAAGTCTGGGGAAGACAGGGCTGTACCGATCCCCTATGGAATAGTCCATATTGTCTTGGAGACGTATGCAACAAGCCAGAGGTATATCTACTCATGCTTCACATAAGAATGTTGCTGATAGAACGACATAGTACGCTGACGAATGGGGCAACGTGGGCGTGTGGAATTGCGGAGGGCAGAACTGGTGCTGTGGGGAGAAGAGCTGTTGTGATGATAAGAACAACATCTTCGAACTCGCCGCAACTGTGGGTCCAACATCAACTGTTCTTTCAGCGACGCCTATTTCCTCAGCCTCGACGATGTCAACCTCGACGACTGAGACAACCCCCACCTCACAGTCGAACGTTCCACCAGACGGTCTTAGTACAGGCGCAAAAGCCGGCATTGGGGCTGGTGTGGCAGCCTTTGTGGTCGTGGCGGTCGCAATCGCATTACTAACATTGAAGCTGAGGAAATCCAACGAACTAAAAGATAGTTCCTCGGACGAACTCAAGCCGCACAAGGATGTGACACAACAAGAAGATTACCAGCGGTATATCGACCCACATGAGATATACACGGAGCATGGATACGGTGAGTTGGGCCATCGTGACCCTCAGGAGTTAGAGGCTAAAAGTGGAAATGTGTACTGATATGCTCACAACATGATTCCGTAACAGATGTTGCACAATACTTGAAGATGATGTGACAGAGGAGATGCTGGCGTGATGTCGGAAGTCTGTTTATCGCTTACAGCTACACGACAGCCCGTTGCATAAGAGCTGCGCCCACTTTCAGTATATCCTTGCCAAATTCTGTCAGGAGTAACCAGTACTTGATTAAGCTACAGATCAGAACGTCTCACAATCGAAGTCTGTGGAAAATCTGTGTCTCACCAACTATATGCTTTCATATGTTTCTTAGAACAAACACTTCGCGCGATGACGCCGACAATCGAGGCTGATGTGAAGGTCATCCTTAGATAACCTAAGAGTTAGTTCTTAGGGATTAAGTAAGTGCAATAGTGTGAGGAGTAGTTGGGCAGGCACTGAGATATCGGTATAGGCTTGTATTGAGACGAATCCTTGAGGAGCTATCAAGCCTCCCAGAGGGATAATATAGATCTACGTCACGCGATCGTGGCTGGTGTGGGCCGACGGTGCCCCTAAGGGTGCCCGGTGGCTCACCTGTCTGTGGCTAGAATCTTGTGATAATGGAACATCATGACACTAATAAGTACTAGTTGATAACTAGAATATATTTAAGGCAAAGATACAGAAGATATTCTTACTTCTTAAGGAATCTATATTTACTAAGAGCATGGTCTCTCTCGGAAATGATCTTCGCGAACAGAGTCGTCCACTTCACGTCCTCGGGGGTGATTTGGGAGTGCAACGAGGCCCGGCACTGTGACCGTGGAGTCTCCCACATATTTCACGAACATAACGACGATTCGTTCCGGGTATTCAGGAGTAGCAAAATAGCTAAGCGATCAAGCAAACATGAATTGTACCGCAAGTGAAATTTGTTGGTTGCGCAATTCACGAAACGTCAAATCAACAGCAAACCAGGAGAAACATACAAAGATGCTGAAAGACTGGTTGCACTTTCTAGACTCGCGCGAAGGTTTTCTTGGATACTGAGCGAGGTTCACCAACTCGAAGACGAGTACCTTGCTGGCATATGGGGAGGGGATCTAGAAACATCGCTACTATGAAGTGTAGAAAGATGTTTGCAAGAGTATCCTAAAATGCGTTGGAAGAGGGCAGGAACGTCGAGAGCTCCGTCATGGAGCTGGGCGGCTATCGAAGGATCTATCTCGATCGAGCCCCTTGTTAATATACAGTCTCATGTTCTGATAGAAAAAGCAACCGTCGAACATCAGAGCAAGGGCGATCCGATCGGCCGGGTGCTCTCGGGGAATCTCGTTGTACGAGGCAAAGTCTTACACAACATACATCTTCAGCGCGAAGATGATAGCATTTCGACATATCCCACGGGACATGTATGCAAAAACCTTGGAAGTACCCCTGATGACAGCTACACATTTATTTTAGACTTTCCGTTATCTTAGCAGGAGCTGTCCCAGAGATTCTCTTGTCTGTTCCTTGGTACAGTGGGCGTGGCGGCAAACGACAGAGAGCATGAGCAAGTGCATTGCGTTATATAACTATCACGCGTCGTAACGGTGGAACCTTCAACATTCGAGCGAATGGGGATATCTCCCTATCGTTCGCACAATACCAGTACCCTTGAATTTCTGAACACAATGGAAGACGAAAGAGTAACAATTGTGTAAAGCTGTAGAATAGCTGCACGTCAGTCTTTTACACGTAGTATTAGAATAACCATAATCAATGGCGATACAGAGTTACACTTAGACCGAACACTTCGAAAGTCAAGCACTTCCAAGTTGGAGTTGCTTGCACATGATAGCCACCGTGCACCCGCCACTCCGCAAAACTAATCACACGATGTTTTCGATGCGCTGGGCTTTCATATGCTGTTCAATATGTGGTTTCACTCGATCCGTTACACATGATCTCAGTGGCCCACCTCTCTAGTTATCTCAAACCCCCTTCTTATCATCCCATCAGTTCGGATCGATGGCAAGGTGGACCCGAAGATACGCACTCACATCATACAGAAGCTCCATGATCACTCTGAAATACGCGTCATACTGATCACAATCAACTGTGGTGCCTGTGGGTACGTTCTTGTAGCCGACAATCGCGAATAGGTTGCGTTTACTGACAAGGTTCTCAGTCTGGATTTAACAGCGGCTTCGACAGTACACCTTCTAGAACCCCAATGGAACCCGTCTCTCGAAGAGCAAGCACTTGCACGAGTCCATCGGATAGGACAAACTCGTCCCGTGACAACTATACGCTACGTTATGGAAGATTCCTTCGAAGAGGTACGTAATTAGCCTAAAATCCAGAATGAGCAGTCGTCGGCTACTTTGCTCTACAATTCCTGGCATGAGCTAATCCATTATCGCACAGCAAGTCCTCAAGATCCAAGATCGTAAGAAGCTGCTCGCCTCCACTCTATTATCAAACAGCTCTTCCCTGGAGGTACGCAGTGCATATGCAAATACATACATGATAAAAATAGGTCACTAACAGCACGCTCCTAGAACCTGCGCCATCTGCTCAGCGAGAAAAAAGATCTCGAAATTTAGTCGAGTGCAAGGTTACGATCATGCTGAATCGAATGTACTGCTTATTGATTCTGGCTACGATGTGCACCTCTGCATCTTGCGATGATGTGTCGTAGCATAAACCTGCTGGCTAGACCATATTCGACACTCAATCGTTCCGTCAATAGGAGTTTCCGTCATGAACAGATCATCTATGACAGTGTGCAGTTGATTCAGTATCGGATCTGCATCTCCTGTACTAGTCAATAAGGCGTCTTGGCACTGTAGGTCGCCGGCGAGGGATGTATATAAGGGACGTAGTAACTGCAATGACCCGTTGGACTGGAACTGTATCCAAGCTCTTCTATCTTACGACATGCCCACAGCTACAGCAGCAACAACCCAGACTATTGCGATATCAGCCGCCCGTCCCGCGCGCGCACCGCCAGTCTCTCGCGCTGGCCCACTAATAGTGGGACTCGCACTCGCGGTAGCCGTAGGCGTGACCGTAGCCTCCGTAGCTTCCGCACCCAACTTTTCCAACCCTGCCGTAAGAACAATCTGTTTCCGCTGTGTAGTATAGTCCTTCAGACTCTTTTGTCTCCAAGTCGCGCTCTGCACACCATTTTCATCACAGAACCAACTCGAACGCGTCGATTTCCTTATTCCCCACGCCCCATCCCTGCATTCCTCTGATGAAAACGCTGCGCCCCATAGCGAAACCGTGCACGTGTTTGCTGCTACATCGATGTATTCTGTAGCCCTGCTACCTGGTCCGGAACAGTCCACATCGTACGTCGTCTGCCACCAGTCGGGTTTTGCCATTCGCGCGGAGATGTAGTCGGGCGCAAAGGTGAACGTGAAGGAGTTTGTGTTGTTTGCGACGTGGTACTTGCTAGATAGGTCGCCGCTGTCCTGGTCGAATTGCGCGTGTATGGTTGTTTTGTTTTGGTCAATGTTTACAAGTGAGCCGCGGAAGCCAAAGGGGTGTTCGGTCGCGCGACCGATACTGTCTTCGCCGAGCAGCCAGTCTCTGAATTCCATGGTGGTTGTGAAGTCGGCGGCTGCTATGGCTGTGAGAGAGGCGATGAGGAGTGGCCGGAACATGATGGTGGTTCGATGGCGCGTGACAGGGTGATTTCAAGTGTATCGTGCGGTCACAAAAGGCAGATATTTGGGGTAGATGTCTATGAGGATTTTAGAGCCTTGGGATGTAGTGGTGATGCAGCAAAAGCATGGTAGAGGTAGCACAGTTCTTATCACTCGGAAAGGCTCGGCAGAAACGGGTTCATCTTTACAGCAAGCATGCAAACGGAAGGATTGACCTAGTGCTTCTCGCTCGCATGCCAGCTCAGTCTGCTTTTTGGGCCCGACTTACTCGTATAAGGCGTTCCATCATTTTATCTCGTTGCTTGGTTTGTGCCGTTGCACCCGCGTCGATGGTACCATGTGGAGCCATGTCTAGATCGGTTAGCGCAGCAGATCGCTCCATGACTTATGTCCATATGCTGGACTATCACGTGTTGTTGAAACAGATTGCCTCGATGTAATCCATGTGAATGGTATCGGTCGCCTACAATCTCTATCTATCCCAACAGTCCCTACCGTTGTTATCGTCTTCCATCGTTGTCACCCCACTACAAGCGACTTCATCTTACTCAATGGTGCAGTAGATGATGCTATTCCTCGTCGTTGTCCCACCATTCGTCTTCCGGTAACTCTTTCGCAGTCGGGCGGTCTCTCCAATCGAGTTTCATCATCTTTGATATGAAGATGTTGTCTCTCCGGCTTACTTCCCTCTCGGTGGTTCGCCGAAATGGCGTCGTCTTCTCTTTTGGTACATTTCCATGATCGTAATGATAGATTGGACCGTTTCTGGGTCTGCGATCTCTTCCATTTTGGCTGGAAAAGGTCCGAGATATTTGAATTGCTCTATAACAACCCCAACCACATACTCTTCGTCTTCGCGTGTCAGTCCTTTCGGCAGGAAAAGGTTGAAATTTCCACCGTAGATAAGACTGATGAGCTGTGAAGAAGTCAGCTTCCATTTATACTTATGTTTCCAGTGGAATCCTGACGGACCATAGCACCGAAACACCATATGTCAGCTGCGGTGTTCCAAGGTAATTCCATGAGAATCTCTGGGCTTGTCCACATAGGTGTTCCCACTACGGTGCTTGATTTAGCCCACTCTGAGTCTGCCGGGTAGCATCCACCCAAGTCGCCTAGTTGGACATCGGTAAATCGAACGTCGCCTTCTTCCAGATTGACGAATACGTTATTTGGCTTGACATCTATACCGTCTGTCAGTCACACAGAATTTATCGTGAAGTCCAGATAGCAATGTACCCGTATGCACAGAACCGTCCTCATGTAAGGTCTTCAATGCCTCTAGTACACATCGCGAGACGTGTTTCAATTCTTGTCTATTCAAAGTTCTTGCAATGGACGCCTCTAGAAGATCTCCTTGCAAGTGCTTAAGAGCGATAGTCACAGGAAGTGTCGGCTCGTCGATTTCATCGATCAAAGGTCGGAGGGATGGGGTGCGGTGCTGAAATCTTTTGAGTACATCTCTTTCATTCTCCACTCGCGGGTAGTCGAGAACGCTCTTGATCACCACAAGCTCTTGCAAATGATTTCTGGGAAGTATGAGATGTTGTTATGAATACTGAATGTATACTGTCTACTTCGCGAACCACACAGTATCTTGGATCTCTTTCGTGATCGTGTATTGGCTAGCACGCCCCTTCAAAACCTGCCCGATTCGAAAGAGCGACCGCATGGGATCAAGCTCGGACTCTATGATCAAGCACAGATAGTATTCTCAAAAATATGTAAAGAGTGTTGGTTTGCAAAATAGGAGGTGATAGGTACGAGGATGAATAGCAGTGATGGAGCGAGCTTTGATGCCAAGATGCTACCGTGCACGGCCGCGTAGCGCCCAGGAACGCGGAAAGCGGTACGGTGGAGCTATGACCAGCCGCTGTCTTGCACAATGTCCCCGGATGGAACGCGCATGGACTATCTATCATTCTTGGACAACTTCTCAACTACAGCTCCAGCATTCTTGCTCCGAAGCCTACTTAGCCTCAGCGCAAGCCCTCTCCCAGAAAAGCTGATCCGTGTCACTTGTAGCAATGAACTCTCCCTCCTTAAGTGAATTCTTAAGATACGCGCAATTTCCAAGTTTCGGGTTGAACAAATAACTCTTGCATTCCGCTTCGGCCAAACATAGCGTCGCACAAGTCGAAACATCCGTCGCAGGGACCAAGTTGAACGAAGAAGCGTAGTATGCCTCAACATTGGCGAAGCCTTCGACCCCACAGGTGGTGCTTGGAACTGGACTGGTGGAAGGAGTATCGCACTTTCCGAACCCGGATTGGCAGCCTGTTGCACAGAATGCGGCGGTGCTTCCACTGCGAGTTGATATTAGTATGAGAGGAGAGGGAGAGGAGGATTGGGAACTTACCACCATCCGTAGGCACTGCAGCAATCGCCGAATGAAGAACCCAGGCATGTCACTCCGCTGCCACAACTTCCGTCGACGGAGATCTTTTGGGTGGGTGCTGGTGCAGCTGCCGAAGTTGTAGTCGGAACTGCAGTCGTGGACAAGATCGATGAAGATGATGCCGCTCCGCAAATTCCGAAGGCTGCATTGCAGCTAGTGCCGCAATGGTCGGCGGACTTTCCACACCATCCATAGGCGCTACAGCAATTGCCAAATGAGGAGCCGACGCAGGTGAAGCCAGAAGTTCCGCCGCAAGTTCCATCAGTGGAGATCTTTCCGCCAGCAACCGGGGCCGCTGATGCTGCGGGTGCTTTCGATGATACTGCGGGTGCTGCGGACGATAGTACGGGTGCTGCTGATGAGACTGCAGGTACTGCCGATGGCACTACGAGTTTCGTCGAGGATACTGCAAGTGTTTTCGATGACGCCGCAGGTGTTTTGGAAACGATAACCGTGGGCGCTGAAGATACTGGCGCTTTGCAGTCTCCAAATTTAGCCTGGCATCCAGTTCCGCAGTATTTTGCCGTGGAACCACAACGTCCATCCTTAGAGCAACAATTTCCCCACGACGAATTCTTGCAAGTAAGCGTGTTCCAGGACTGTTTACCGCAAACACTCGAGGTGCTGACGCGCAACGCATTAACATTAAGGAATAGAAGGGCCGGAATGGCCAACAACATCGAAGAACGCATCGTGTAAAAGAACCGTCGGAACGAGTGACTTGGGTTAAGAAACGATCGGCGAATGGGGACGCGTTACGACATTCGTGAACGGGAGCGACCAGAATATATTACATCGTGAATAGGAGACTTCCAAGCATGGGCTGACTCGTGAAGCGAAAGTGGTGTTAGAGTTCTCTCGGGCTAGACCTGATGAACACAACGCTAGGCTATAATTAAAACCGCCAAGGCTATTGCATCCCCACAAGGCTGAAGATGGCGTGCGTCTCGATGCGCAATACGAGCTCAACATTCGTTGCTTTGCACCTGGAGTTGCGGAGTTGCCGTAACGATGCATTCCGCGGGGAGACACGACGCTAGTATACAGTCAGGCTATATCTTTCGACCACCTGGCATGCAACTTGCTTATCATCTTTTGCTTATTGCTTACTGCTGAAGTAAGAGCTAACCTAGAGAGAAGATATATTTGCAGGGATTAACGTTATTTATATCGCCTTCAACCTGCATGGTAACGTAGTAGCATGCTAGCGTGCCAGTTTATAGATCGGTATGTTATAGTAATATATTTTGTGTAAACCGCTACATATGACCATAGGACACTGAAAATTAGGCTTCCCGTCCGCTCAGCCATATACAAGCAGTGTACCGGCGGATTAGTAGTTAGGTGGGTGACCACTAGCGAATCCCCACTGTTGTATGTTTCTTCTTTTTTTTGTTTCACATCTCTTTCAAACTGGGCGATTTACCCGTGGCGTGTGCCTCCCTTGAGCAGAAGAACAGATGCACGATCACAGTTCATCGAGCCACTGATATTCAGCATGTCCAACCTTGGTCAACCCTGTGTTGTTGTTGGAATATAACCAATTGGCCGCGGTTTTTGGATTGACTGCACCACTGTGCACAGCTTTTGCAGGCCATTTGCAGAGCTTCTGTGTGGTTCTCTCATTAGCCTCACCCCTTGTGGCGCCGTTGATGCTGTCAGGCGCTTTACTTTTCTCAACCCAATCGACTACAGCAAACATAGGATCAATGGGGACTGGGCCAGTGCCTTCAAAGCAATGAGCAACGCCAGGCGCTAAGAACACTCGGTAGAACTTGTCATCTTCTCCAACACCTCCCATCCTGTGCTCCACCCACTCTCGATATACGAGCTATTCTTGCAGGGAACGACGGCATCGGCGAGACCATGCCAGGTTATCATCTTAACACCCGAATCGCGGAGAGCAGCTGATTCGGCTGTTTCAGCCTCCATAGACTACTGTTACTCGTGGAAGGCCTGTGTCCACGTCGCGAAATAGCGTTCTCGTTAAACTGCAGAAAAATCAGTTCCAGGTGGAAGGAGTACATCGCGAACTAGTGGCCATTTGGGTTTATCGATCTTACGCCATCAGGGGATATGCTTATGTTTGCCGTGGACGAAAAACTCGCGCCAGGTGCAAGACCATGCCAGAACTTGGCACCAAGGGCACTTTTCGGACCTTCCCTGCTCTGGCGTACAACATCAACCATTTGCGATGTAAATTTGACAGCAGCCTCTCCATCGCACTTGATCTGGCTCCCAACAAGCTGTTCGGGGTTGTGTTTGCAATCCTCTGAGTCGATAAGCACCCCATCCTCGTACCCATCCAACGAAGGTGTGACGTATTCGTATTTCCGACAGAGTTATGTCCGGAGGTTGTTCGTTACACTCGACCTAGACGCCACGATACTTTGTTTAAGCGTCACAGTGCGTCAAATGAAGACAATAGTTCTTTTTCCCATCGTGGCCAGCACTTGTTCGTACCCGATATCAAGGGCTGATACGAAGTTTTCGCGCTTTTTGAAGGTTCCGGGACTCTGAAGTACTTTAGACAGCGGTTCGCTGTTGAGAAAAGCGTATTCCTCAGCGCTAAACTTTGGTCTGTAATCCTCTATCAAGTTCCATGTTTGGCTGTACATCATGCCATGTACGTATACTTCGCTGTAAAGCTCATACTGCAGCTGCCCGTTGGCATCTGTACCCCACAAGCAACTCCGATGTAATCGCCATTTTGGATCCCCTTTGGAACAAGACACATGTATCGTCTGGCAGTGATGCATAGTTGTGTTTCATCGAGAGCTGAGGATAGGAGAAAATCTTTTGCGTAAGGAAGCTCGTGGTTGACCACGCCAGCCAGAAAGCTCTGCAGATATTTTTGGTACTCGGATTCTAGCTTGACTTCCGGTTCTATCAGAAACTCCTTGTAGTCTCGACTACAGAGAAGGGTCTTTGCCAAAGCTTCTAGAATAGTCTCGCCATTGATATATGTAGAAGGGGAAAGAGTAAGTAGTCGCTGTTCTGTCGACTTCACAAATTCTGCCAACTCGCAATGGAAGTCACTACCACGCTTCTCTGGATCTAAGCATCCGCTGGTATAGATGACGATATCCTGCATAATGAACTGTAACGCAAGCGACTGGATGGGTAAGGTTTTACGCTTTCCGCTCGGGGTAAAACAAGTGTACAAGTCGTCATCATTTCGCGACCGGCGTGGCATCTCGGCAAATCTCAAGGTGTACGGATTCTCCGCCTTCTGTGTCCCCCCAGCACGGTAATCCTGATCAAGGAAGAGAAGTAGGTCTGTTGTGTAGCGCCAGTCAGGCACCCATGAAGGCAAAGATAAGTCGCGTTGCTTTGCTCTTCCTGCATGTAGAAGCATCTGATTCCAATCTAATAGTACGTTCTCACCAATCAGCTTGGCGCATTTGATGCAGACAACTTGCCAAGGCAGCGAGTAATCGACTTTGGGTAGTTTGTGCGCAAAAGAACCTCCGGATCTAAAGTGCGCTTGGAGTACCAATCCATAAGTAGCAAATATCTTGTCGCGAGGATCTGTGGCCAGGCACGCTGACATCATTGATAAAGTTCCCTATATGATTGTGCTTCTTCCACGAGAGATAGAGTGACGAGTACCCTGGATGTGGTTCAAAGCTAGCAGAGAATCTACCATTGGGTCGTATTCAACCCAATCAGGAATCTGCCAAGTCTTGGGGGCCGTGAGCATCCAGCTGATGGCGAAGAAGTTATCCCATGGTATTGAACGACTGCCGCACATAACAACGGTGACCTTACATAGAGCGGCCTCTTGTTGAACCCAAGCACGTCTTGTCCACGGTCGTTGCACCAGGGAACATAGACTCTGTACGAGCTCGCGTCTTTCGGCGGATGGGCTTGCTTCGTTCAGAAGATAAGTGTTCCGCGGCTGGGAAGAGTGCTGAGAGGAAGTCCGCTTCGATTGTGCAAACTCTTCCAGAGATCCTGAGATGTCGAGATTCGCCGCGAAGTCCATCGCCATGTCGCTATTCGTACAGGCTTCACTAAGCCAAGCCACGACTCTACGTGCCTTTTGATAGATGTCCCTCATCATGGGAACCGGCTGAGCTTTTCCCCCATCATCTGCTTGGTTTATGCAAATGGAATCCATCCAGAGAAGCCGATCTTTGTTTTCGAGACGGAGTCTCTGAAAAAACTGGTACGCGTTGGGCGTTACCGTAGAGTTGCGACCGTTGCATGAGATGATGTGCGTGACGGTGGGTCACCCCAGGTGTATGATGTTGCTTCGTAGGTGTTGACGGCATCGTCCAGATTGGTCGACACAACCTTGACGTATACTTTGTCGCTTGGGTGTCCTGCAAGGAGGCTGATGAGACAAACTGGGTTGGTCCCTTCCAAATGTGCATACAGGCCATCAGTAGACCCGTGCAAAGACAACACCGAAGTCATCTCGACTAGATACTACTCGCGGCTCACAGCATAGCTTCGTGTTGGTTAAGGGTCAACGAGGGCTTTCTTGAGGTCAGGCTGAAGCCAGCACGTCGCATCGTTGCTGCACAAAGGGGGCGAATGAGAATCGCAAGACCTCCCGCATACGGCATATTCGACCGCCATTGTTTCCAAGCTAGAGGAAAGAGGTCATCAACAACGATTCCAGGAAGACTTATCAGGCCATTGTGAATCGGATCGGGATGCGATAAGCGGCGTCTTGCTAATGGCTTTGATGGAGGGGTAAATGGAAGCTGCAAGAGCTGGCGATTCGCTAAGCGCTTGGATTCGGTATGCCATTGCAAGCCACGGGGGCTGAACACGCCTGCTGCCTACAAGGCTGTACAGACGCGTCGTCAGCCTTGTGTATTCAAGCGTTGATAAGACTCATTTGATCGTGTCTTGAGTCGAGTGAGCATCACGATTAAAAAGAAAGGTTGTGTTCGAAACGTCTGACCCTACCCTGATTTCCAACGTCCTTCACGCGTGCCTGTGCGGCTTCCCCCGCGCGGCCCGGTGACGATCCCTTCCGCCCAAGCTCGGCTTGATCGCAAGACGGCCAACGCCGATTCCGTAACACCCAGCTGATTGGTTTTCCGATGGGTCAGCTTGAAGCTCGTCCTATGCAGAGGATATTGCTTTTTGAATCGATTGCAGCGAGAGGGTCAGCCCACTGCACGCGTAGACACGGGATTTGACCAACGAGCGGGCCGCGCCCCACCCCTCGTCGCATCGGCCAGCTGGGGACCTTGCATCAGATGACTAGCTGCAACACCAGCCGGTTTTTTGTTCAGTCTTCGAAAACCATCCTCTGGGGCCCATGGCGTTCGTCCTTCTGCGTGGTTGGTCTGGTAAAGACGACCTATGATTTACCCAGGACATGCGAACTGCTGTCGCTCGACCCCCAACGTCTCAACACACAGCTCGCAAACTGCTGTTGAACGCTCTGCATCGACAGAGACACACCTTCTCAGTCCGTTACTGCGAACATTGAGATTTGCTGATGCTGAAGATGATTCACAACACGTTACCTCTGGTACTACATTTGCGGAAAGAGGGAGTTTTCCCATGACCGGCAATTAATCAGTTCAGCTTTGTGGTGATGGAAGTAGTGGCGGCTGTGGGGGCGGCGAAGACACAGTATGGCTTGTCCGCCGCAAGAGGGATAATCCTTATCGCAGCTGTCATTATAAAAGGGCACCAGGCTAGCCATGTGGTTTAGCCGGTACGCAAGCATTCCTACATAATACCTCCTTTTCCCAAAGCGCCTTCTATCATACGTCTCTTTGTAGCCCTACTGAGGCGGATTGGCAAGAATCGCCTGTCTCACGCGATCACATGGCTAAACTTGACGAGTCCCTTCCAGAGAGGTTTGAATCCTGGATCGAGTCAAAATCTGAGTGTACATCCTCCCTGACCTGTCGCATAGGGCCATTCGTTCCGAGATTCTGGAGTATGATCACAAAGCCTATGATAAGATTAAACCCTACGTCTTTGACCCTTTGCCCCCAGCCAAGAAGAGAATTCGTCTGTTGCAGCTCAATGGCGACACACTTTACTGCCCGTCCATATATTGTGAACTTATCGAAGCCGATTATGACAACACCTTCCACATCCCTACCAGAGCCATCGATGAAAGTTCCGCAGCCTTTCAGCGCTACCGTAGTGAACTTCAGGGAGTCCAAGGCTCAAAAAAGAGGCTTAAAAGAGAATACGAATGGGTGCAAGAAAACAGAATGAAGTATGAAGCTTTATCATGGTGTTGGGGCAGAGACGACCCAAACCATGCTGTAATCATAAACAAAGCTGGAACCTCTTACAAGATGAGGGTGAGGAAGGACTTGGCGCTAGCCTTGAAATATCTCCGTCATCCCGAAAAGACAAGGTTAGTCCTCATAGCATAAACCGCATACGTGACTTTCGCTAACACTATACCTTTGGATCTGTAGAACACTCTGGATAGACGCCATATGTATTGATCAAGCTAATTCCGAAGAACGCAACCAGCAGGTGCAAATGATGTCCAGGATTTACACGAGATCATCGAACGTCTGCATATGGCTTGGGGAAGACGACAATGCAGACGAGCGTGCAATCAAATTCATACGCAAGAAGATCACGCATCTGAAGGATTTCGATACGATTAGTTCCAACGAAATCTATAGTGAAGATTGGCACGCATTGATGATGCTGATGCAGAAAGAGTGGTTTTCCCGTCGCTGGGTCGTTCAAGAGATTTCCCTCGCCAAAAACGCTCGTATCCACTGTGGCCCATACTCCATCCCCTGGAAAGAGTTCGCAGTTGCTGTAGAGCTATTTGTGGAGGTCGAGACCGCTACGCATCGATTGTCGGAGGTGATGTGGAAGGACAAGAAGTTTCTGCATGTACCTGGTATGTTCGAATACGTCTCAGAACTTGGAGCCAGTCTTCTTGTAGGAGCAACAGGCAAGATCTTTCGTACTCACAAAACCCCAATGGATGATGATCATGGCGATGACGAAACCGCTGAAGATATGGTGGCGTGGATGGAAGAGGTACACACGATCGATCCACTGGACCGAAGAAGCCTTCTCAGCTTGGAGTATCTGGTCACGACCATGTTCATCTTCAGAGCGACCGAATGTCGAGACTCGATCTACTCCATGTTGGCTATAGCCAGAGACGCTGCACCGTTCGCAGATCCGGACCGGTCTTATGATGATGTATCACTTACAATGACACTCTTCGATTCTTTCCTCGCAGAAAAGCCATTCCGAGTCGACTACGCCAGACCATACTCAGATGTTTGCCGAGATTTTGTCGAGTTTTGCATCCAGCGCACACATGCGCGTGAACCAGTGCAGGCACTGGATATTCTTTGTCGCCCCTGGGCATTGGAGCCGCCACAAGGTAGATCTATACGTCTGTCGCCGGAACGTTCAACTAGGAACCGAGGACAGGAGCGCCTGAAACCTCAACGCGAGGTACCATGGAAAAGATTAGTTTGCCAAGTGAAGTGGGAACCAAGGCAGCCCGAGTGGTCACTAGAAAAGCCCGAGTGGACGTATGAGAAGCCTAGAAAGATTGAGAGAAATGATTGGATCGATGATGACCGTGAAATGGAAGAATACTGGGAAGAAAATAGGAAAAAGGAAATAGGAGATGTGACAGAACCTTGGACGTATACTTCCTGGACACACACTCTTCTCATGTCCCATAAAGTTACGTGGAAGAAACCTGAGGGATGGGACAAGGTCGAAGCGCTCGTTGCGGTGTCAGCCAAACGTGGACCAGCAAGGAAAACATCACCGGAAGATATCGATCGCGATCTAGACTTGCCGTCATGGGTGTGTCGCGCCAAGAAGGCACCATTCGAGCTTTATGCACATCCCGGTATGCACATCAAGAAGACTGGAAGAGCCAATGCAAACCCCCTGGTTGGAGAACCAGCGGATGGTCATCGAAACTACAGCGCTGCGCAAACCAAAGGCTTGACACTCAAATCTTCTGAGGGCTTCAAATTTCGAAAAAGACCGTGCGCATGTCACTATAGCCTCTATGTTCGGGGGTTCGTCATCGATGCGGTGAAAACAGTAGTGGAAGCTTCACAGGGAGGAAACATTCCTAGATCTTGGCTCGATTTGGGTGGTTGGGAATCACCGTATGACAACGATCCACCGGGCGAGCTCTGGCGAACGCTTGTCGCTGATAGAGGCAATGACAATCGGAATCCGCCCAACTACTATGCCAGAGCTTGTCGAGAATCAGTGAGCAGAGGAGGCATTGCGAGTGGTAGGGTCGATACCACAGCTCTTATCAACAACGAACGCAATTCGATTATCGCAGAGTTCTGCCGAAGGGTACATGCTGTCATATGGGGTCGATCCATGTTCAGAACTGAATCTGGAAAACTTGGGATCGCATGTAGTGACGTGAAGGTTGGTGACAAGATCTGCATTCTCTATGGATGTACAGTGCCAGTCATCTTGAGCGTTCAACACAAAACACCTGCACAACGAAAGCAGGATGAGTTCGAAGACCATTTTGAGGCATTTAAATCTTGCTACGAAAGGTTGGAGAGAATCATGGTGCGAAGATATCGGTATAACAAGAAGAAGTCGAAGGATCCAATGTGGGAGGCGCAGGTCAAATCAAGTACTGAAAGGCTCAAGAATGAACTGGACTTGTTAAGACAACACGCTAAAGAAGACCACGAACGACAGAGGGAAAGGGCCATCACCAGGGAGATAATCAGGGCCAAGCTTAAAGGGAAAGAGAAGGTCATACTCAGCGAGCAGGACAAAGAAGAAGATGAACAAAGCAAGAAAAAAAAGCAGGATACTAAGCAGCAGACCAACGTTTCCGTGGCGACCAGATTCCTTCATTTCTTCGTGGACATGGTCTGGATCATCATCTCCTGTGCCATCTATTTCGCATCAAGATACTTTGACCTCCCCAACTGGGCCGCCACCCTTGCTCCAGTCGTCATAACCACGCTAGCCAGTCTGTCCGAATACGTACCGCTTGATCTGGAAGCCAGCTTGAAGCATGACGCGTCTCCGGATGAAGATCCAGACCTCGATGCTAACAGACACTATATCTTCAAGGGTGAAAGCTATGTCCATGGTTTTATGGACGGGGAAGCATTGCGTGCTAAATTCTACAAGGAAGGGAGTGCAGAAGATCGGATTTTCGAGCTTAGATGACATTATGTTGTACCCTAAGTTATCAAGCACCAATTTTCATTGATCAAGCCGAGTGCGTGGTATACTGAAGACGCTTGTTTAACAAGATTTATGCGAGGAGACAGCACGTTTCAAATACCTTGTCGCCGAAGATTGGTGCCAATTCTTGCCAGTCGATAACGATTCTTAACGTTCTCGTCTTACGCACTTTCCGTTGACGTGTACGTGTCTTGCTTGGAGACCGCAGCTCTCCGCGAATCTTCGAAGTCGTTGGAGATTTCTCGGTAAAGCTTCTTCGGATCCTTTTGAGCGTCTTCCTTGATCTGCACTTTCCACCTGTCCCAGACCTCGGTTCTTGGAAGCATGTTCGATGCTTCTACCCATTCATGTACATCGTCAGCTTGGCCAAACCGCCTTATGAGTTTTGCGTATATGTGCGTTCTTGTAACGTTTTGAGGATCGTTGACACTCTCAATCATGGATAACTTCGACAGCACGCACTGGCTATTCGCCCACTGGCCAACAAGAACATTAGCCTGCGCTACGATATTGAGAATAACGAAAGCGACTTGGTCTGCCGTGCTACCATTGGGTATACTCGTGAGGAACGAGAGCAGAACCATGAGGCTGCCCATTCTGGTGAAGAGCTGCCAAACTGATGCTGGAATCCCCAGCGGATGTTCTCGGTAGATAAGACCACTGCTGGTCCAGCTCTTCACGTCTTTACGACTTCCTTCCAGAACAAATGCTGAGTTGCTGCGACCCATGATGAATACAGCCTCGAGCCCGTTCGGATCGTGGACATGATCTCGGCCATTTGTCGAGGGAACAACATTGACGTGCTCAATGAGGCGGATTATGATAGACCAACCGGTAAACGTAATGCAAGTCGCAAGCGAGACCCAGGTCGTCTGATCACTCTTGCATATACCAAAAATCAAACCGGCGAAAAATGCCCACGTGGCACACGTCCAAAGTGCCAGAAAGGTCTGACTCTTCCAGTTGACGCTTTTTGACTTGGAACCATTGGTCGGTATTTGGTATACGGTATATCGTCCATCTTCCAAGAGTTTATTTATCTTTAGAGCATTCGAGAATTGGATGTTGCGCAGCGGGGCACTTTTGACTCCGTACGGTGAAAAGTATGTTTCAGCGCTCGTGTCGAGTAACATATTGTAGGATCGAACATAATTCTGGAGACCGACAACTGGAGCAGCCACGAGGCATTGGAGGAGTGATCGCCGGCTCAATCGGTAATTTCGCTCCTCGTCTTCGCTGATCAGGACGATAAGCGAACTGACATCAAGTGTCCATGGTTGCAACTGTGGGGGTGCGGCCATTTAATGTTGAGCGTAAATTGCAGGCAGGTTTGTAGATGTAACGTCGGTGTGAATTCAAAATGCAAGTGTTGAGCCCATATTTGTATACATGATTCCATGCTGACCGGTGACCGGTGTGGACGCTGCGCCACCTTACCTAGTTAACAGCGCAATCGAGACAGCACTTTCTTAGGATGATTTCGATGATGTTAGCCTTATCCGCGCTGCTTTAGCTCACCGGGCCTAGATGTCATTGTAGTGACTACGGCTAGCCTAGAAGATTTCCTTGGTCGCTGACATCTTGAGTTGGGCCTTAGGGGAAGCGCCCCCAGCATCTTAGGCCAGCCAAGAGGCCTGGCCGGGTTAGAAAGGCAAACCACCAATCCTCATTGTTGCGTCATTTCAGCTCATGTCGCAGTTGCATGATTGCGCATGACTTTAGGCATCAGCTGTGAGGCAGGAATCTCGCCCAGATCGCTGGTTGGTGCTGGAAGCGAACGCCCCCTCTGACGGTGCATGACTGGCTTATATTGCTCAACACCCCTGCAGACATGGTACGCCATGGCTTTCGGCTTTCTTAGTTTGTGAGAAGCCTTCTGATAGGCATTTAACAATATTTCCCGAAGACTATTCGCCTATCTGGCAATTTGTATAGCATTAGGCTTAAGGTTCATACCTATTTTGCTGGTATACGTAGCTTCGCTTGCTATGCAACTGGAACGAATGGGTAATTACACAGGCATGCTGCGGAGATCTTTAGTAAAGTACACATGCAAAGATACTGTATGGATAATCTCGACTCGATTCTTAAGGAATAAAGGCTAGGTGTTCTCAGTCGTCGATCAGCCCGACTTGTATGCTGAGGCTAGCGATTAAGATTTCAACAGCAACACTGATACACGCGCGATGAGTGGGCTGCAGCTGAGCAATCCACCATTGTTAGGAATTTATTGCTGTCTGTGCTCTTTGATTTTATTTCTAACGCATGTCTATTCATCTAAAGTTGAGTACTTGTAGAACAAGGTCACGCAATAACAAGTTCAAGCATGCATCAATCCCAACCTATCATTGCCCAGACGACTACTATCAAGCAGCAAAGGTACAGTTGCCGCGATCGTAGAACGAGGTATTGCCACATTGCAAGCCTAGTTCCTTACATCACTCCTTACGTCTTGTCCTCACTGTCGTTGTCGTAACCTTCACTGTGTCTCCAATACTCTCAATTTTGCCTTCCTCCATCCTTCCAGATCCACCATGCCCCGATACTTCATTTTCCTTTCCTTCTTCCAGAGTATCAGGCTGCACGACAGCTGGGTTAGGATTCTCTACGATGAATGTCCCAAGCGAGCACGGTTTTGGGGTAGTTGTACCGGACATTGCTGTTAGGAAGACGGGTGAGTACAAAAGTATTTATTCAAAGTATATGGAAACCTAATGTCGGCATAAGATGAAGAGACATTTAAATATGTGCAAGAACTGATAGATAGTGTCAGGAGTGTTTGAGAGGGATGTTGGAAACGGCGGTTGATCACAAACGATCGAGAGGCAACGTAGCGTGGGCGAATAAGCGTTGCTGTTAGCTATTTGCTGTTGCTGACAAGCAAGGCTATCTCACACATTCGTCATAGCTCATACAGAGATTCCTTGTCTGCTGTTATATCGTGGCGCGCACGTGGACATAGTCAAATGACACTTGTGATGTGGATAGTCTTTTTTTGATATAGGTAGATCATGGCGTGGGTGAATAGATAATAAAGCACTTGTGTATTGGAAGCAAAGAAAGTCAAAGGACTAACATGGTGATACATTTGAGCAAATTTCTATCTTTGTCTATTTGTTTTACTGCTAGGTACAACATGCCGATATCCAGCCGAGTAATAGGCGTCTTAATCTATGCGTACCGTCACACTGTGCTTTCCCCCGAGCTATATCGCTACTTATCAGCAGACGGGAAGGGAGTCAGCACTTCCTAGGCCAGAGCAACCATTGTTGTTCCTCATGGGCGGACCATCCCTCCCCGCCTCCTTCTCAACGCCCAAGTAGTTCATGCAAACATCCTTATTGTTGCTACCACAAGTACCAGTGATAACAGCGGTGTCGCCAAAGTTGTTGTTGATAGCAACAAGGTCCGAAGTCATACCGCTGGCGCGAACATTTTCAATGACGACTTGGCGAGGACTGTTTGCTTGGTTGTTGGAGCAGTTACCGCAGCTACGGTAGAGTTTGCCCGAGTTCGTGACGGTGTAGTTGCGAATAGTTACGCGGCCTTTGCCGTTGTGCTGGATGACCTTGTCGTTGGCGCCTGTGGCGCCGCCGCCCTCGATGAGGACGTCGCCTGGTCCAAGAGCGGTGACGGCGTCTACGGTGATGTTAGTTTGTCATAGTTTCGTTTGTGAGGGAGGAGGCTATCGCACCTTCGCAGACGTTCCTGAACCAAACGTTCTTCAGGGTACAACGGCCGCGGCAATGGATACCTGCAAGATATTAGTGAGTTGTTTCCAGGAGTAGAGGGTTGGAAGAATGTTACCGTCGATCTGGTTGGGACCGATGATCAAGTTTTCGATGGTCACGCCATCGTCAAGGATGAAGACTGGCGGTCCATTCGTCTCGTCATCGCAGGTGATGCCGCTGTCAAACTCTGCCATGCCGAAATCTCTGTTTGCAGAGATGCGAGCGTTGGAAGCACGCTGGACAGTGCCGACTCTAGCAGGGACATTGAGAACCTGGGCAGAAGCCAAAGAAGCGGCGAGAGTGGCAAGCGTGAATGAAGTGAACTGCATGGTGAAAGAAGGTTGGGCTGTCTAGAAGCTGGAGTGATGAATGAGTGTGGAGGATCTGGGCGATCGGGTTGTAATGAAGGTCTGAAGACTTGAGAGACTTGGAATGTAACGAAGGTGAAGATGCTGATGGAGCTGATGATATGTTCAAGTGAGACAGCATGGAAGTTATATACTTGAGCATTCTCCTCGAGAGATTACTACAACACTTGGTATCTTACGACTCTGAAGACTGCGAATGCGAGAGCGGCCAATGCATCTAGGGGTGGCATGCATTACTCCTCTTGGTATCCGGTATCAAGTGAAAGTCAATACGAGATGCTTTGATCACGCAAAGCACAAACAGCACTCTAGCGTACCACATCTTTGACACCGTAGCTCAGTTGGTCTTGATCAATCCAGGATGCATCAAGATCTAGACAGATCTTGCACACACGGCAGATTCCGCCTGACCTGGCGTCACTGTAGTAGCTGTCTTGGTGCACTGTAGTCATCTTCTAAAACATCTGATTCTGCTTGGCGCCTAGCTAAACTATCCCTAGGCTGCTTTCCCAATCAGATGTTTGATGGTTGAAACCGGCGAAACTATATTCTCGGCTTTTATGCTGTGGTGTTAGGGCGGGATAGTGGCGTAACTAGTAGTTTGGCGTTTACCCTCCACTGGTTCTCTGTCTGTGCGCTCAATGCGTTGGAACTCCCCGATAAAGTGTCCGTGCACGTTTCGTGCTACGGACTATAAGATCGAATTTCCTTGAGATTTCCTATGTTTGCCAAAGTGCTTTTGCTTTTATCGTACTTGCCCTTTTATCTGTGGCCAATGTTGATTCTAGAGGGTATTCAAGTACCTCTTTCAGGAGCTATCTTGTATGGTCTCCCGCCCTCTTCGCGCCGCACCTCAATTGGCAACCACATATCCGTCCGCGCGGCGGTCTCAGAGCAAGACGCTGTTAGCAATGATAGAAGTAGACGTTTTGGCTTAGCCTGAGAGCGTGGCGTGTCCAAAGTAGCTAGTAAAATCAATATAAACATCAGCTGCAGTATCGAAGTCTCTCATCGATTTCCCGTCGATCATAACATTCTGACAATCCTATACTTGTGCACATTTTCCTATCTATCACAGTCTCCAATTCCCCATTCAGGTCAACGCACTCCTAGCCTTATTCATACGGTTTCATAACCTCATTGCCCGCCACAGCTTCCGCAAATCCCGGAATCGCCGTTGAATGACACCAAGGCTTCTGCTCAATCTCCTTGCGAATCTGTTGTGAGAAGCAAGTCGACCAGCCCAGTCTGGGTAGTTGTCGTGTTACCGCCTCAATCACCTCATGGCTTATAAGATGGGGTTGCCAACCCATGTTATCTTTAAGTTTCAAGTTAGTTAAGATGTGTATTTCATCGCCCAGAAACAACAACAACAAACTCTTCAACGGAAAGAGAAAAAAGAAAGAAGAAGAAAAAACGTTCAAAAGCAGCAATAGTAACTTAGACATACCAAACTCAGTAGCAACCTGTATCAACTGTCCCATGGCACTAATCGTGCCCGTCTCGCCAGGATCCTGGTGCCGGATTATAGCTTCCGCAACGCTCTCCGCCTGTATTTTGGCGGCACCAAACTCCTGCAACTTGGCCAGAGCGATGAAGCCGCCCTGGAAATCAAACGACATGTGCGTAGACGACATGTTCTGCGCTGTAGTCCCGATATCGTGGAACAGGCATGTCAGCGCCCACGTTTCGAAAAACGTGCTCGACTTCCAGTCGGGCAAGTACTGCGTGACAATCTGGTGACCTGGTTTGCGGTGTTGTTAGTTTCAGTTTGGATAGAGGGCGTATTAAGTGGGGATTTGCTGTTGTTGGTACACGGCGAGAAAGGTGTTGTTCTTTTTTTCTGAAGCCGGATGAGATTAGGTGGAGTGGCTTACCGTAGGCGTACACTCGGAGACTGTGGTTGTACGTCTCTGTAGGCAACTCGCGCTTTGCGTAATCACGCGCTTTTTTCGTCAACTCGTTGTCTGGCCAGATGCCTGCGATGTCGACTGCGGCCGCGTTGGTTTGGGGAGCAGCAGCTTCCTCGGCAGAAGGGACGTTGGAACGGTCTCTTGGAACGGCAGTCCAGCCGTAAGATCTGATTTCGTCCGACATGATATAGTATCCAGACAGAGCTTTAAAGTGCGGGTGAATAAGAAAGATGGAGGTCGTCGTGGTTGTTGGATCTAGAGTCGAGTTGACGCAACTTTAAGTAGTCCCATGTATCATGATGCACATACGCCTTCCGGCCTAAAAAGGTTAGACTTGACATGATGCCACAACCGCACTAGCAAACACAACGTCGACTCGTTGAGTAAGCACGTCACATCGGGAAAATTGCAATTGACCACGCGCCTTGTTGTCGTCTTGGTCGATTTCATCAACTCCGGGTCACAGTCTTTTTGGTCAAAATGACATCATCTACGTCATACCTAACCACGGCCAAAGTCGCAAGCAAGTCGATCTCTGGAAATGGATTCTGTTATCATCGTTTTTTAAGTGTATCCTCCATAACACGATACAACCAATTCCTTTCCCATTTTCGGCGCACTAAAGACTTCAAACAGTTTGATAATCACTACTTTCAACTTCCTACTCACATTGTCAAGCCTATCCGTCCACCCAGCGCACCATCACCGCCTCAGCGGACTCCTGAATCCCATACTACCAAACTGACTCCCCCCTTTCTTCGGCGTCGTCAACGGATCATTCACTTCCCCACCACCCTGCACACCTTGCGCACCACCACCACCAAAACTCCCGCTGACCACCCTGCTCCCCCCTCCTCCAACCCCGCCACCTCCAATACGCCCCCCACTCCCCGGCGCCTTGAACCCCACCATACTACCCCTACTATAAACATCGTTCAACATCGTCTCCACAACGCCCGCATCCTCATACTCTTGCCACTTTCTCCAAAGCTTCAACGCCGTCACCGCGTCCTCGATCGAATCATGCGTCTCCTGCTGAATACTCTCCTGCGAGAAAGAAAGAACAACAAGTCAGCCTCGTACGTTTTGACACAAAAACAGATTGCGCTATAATGAAAAAGCCATACGAAAACAACATACCTTGAGTACACACCACGCCAAAAACTTCAAATTCAACTTCCTCTTGAAATCCGGTTTGAACCACAGCTGACTCGTATCAACGACCTGCACTTTTGGCACATGAATATTGATAGTTCGGAAATCGTTGGCAAGGGAATGTCCCACAAAGACACAACCAAGATTCAACAAGAGCCACAACTTCTTGTACGCGTGTTTGAGTGACACGGGAGCGTGCGGCGAAGTCTCCCTGCTGAGATCTCCAGGCGAGATGCCAGACCATTCAGTCAGGTAGTCGACTACTGTTTCAGTGACGGCGATGTAGTCGTCGATGAAGGGCAGGCCTGCTTGTTCGCCCTCGCCACGGCAGACAGACACGCGGGCAAGGCCTTTTCGGTCCGGACGAATAGTTTGTCGGGTACCGTCAGCTTTCATTTCGATTTCCTCAGCCTGGAGGCGGATGAATTCTGCATCGATCGCAACGGGATAACCCGGCCGCGGTTTCTCGGCTTCGGAATGCAAAAGCTTGAATTTCGTGTCTGGGGGTGGTGGATTGGACGACCACCATCGGTATAGGATGGAAGTGTCTAGGTTCTCTTTCCAGGAGTCGTCAATCTTGTTGCGGGCGGATTTCAACTGGAAGGTCAACACAGAGGGCAGTTTCCAACTTGGTTCGAAACGCAGGGCTTCTTCTTTGGGGATGGGGCGGACTAGGAAGTCGTTGAAAAGGTGCCATCTGTCTTCCAGATCCTCTTCTCGAGAGGAAGGTGCGGTGTTGATGGTTGCGACGAGATGAGGCTTTTGATGCTCGCCGCTGTTGATGTCTGCAACTATCCCGACAAGCTCATACACCATGATCTGGTGTACTCCGCGTTGCAAGTGTAGCTTCAGATCTTGGCCCTCAAAGCAGTAGAACTGACCTTGATCTACTATGATTCCGATCTCTTGTGGAAGCCAATTAGGTATAGACCACAATAGTTTTGCTTCGTGACTTTGTATAGCAGCGTTGAGCATTAGTACTCCAGGAACTGATTGAATCGTCTTCCGCTGCACCATCTGTTGGTACCGGTTGCACTTTGTGCACCAGCCTCTAGTCTGGTCTTGCCGCTCGACACTTGCCTTCAGGATTTGTGAGAAGGTGGGTCGAGGTATCCGTGTGTTCTTCATGACGTGCTTCGCCGGGTACACGAGCTCGTTCACGAAGTTCTTGCCTCCACGAATGGTCTCGTTGTTGCATTGTGCACATCTCATGCTTGCTTTCGCCTGGGTTTCCAGCACTTGGTCCATGGCTGACGGACCGGTATGACCTGGTAACATCTGCCGGAACTCTTCCGAAACCTTTTCGAGTAAGAATCGATTGAGATTCTGGATCATACTGGTGAGCGCAACATTAGGCGCGAACTCTTCGAGTAGGTTCAGTGAGACTGCATTTGAGAGGCCACTGAAAGTCTTCAGGAAGTTGGATGCCTGGCAATTGAGACCAGCCGCCTTTTCAAGCATGTCGATGAGGAAGCCTAGCTCGCAAAGGAGGCATGACTCGAAAAGACACGGTGAAGCAGTGTGCTGGAGTGCAAGATTACGCAACAACGGTGTGAAGCGGAAGAGCTGCAAAAGAGGGTTAGCATAGGAGTTGGTGATGTGCGTCTCCAGTCCGGAGTACGGTGTCTGGTTGTAGTATCTGGTACCAAGTCAGTGCAAGTGTGATTATTGTGTACCTGAACACATACGCAAAGTCGAAATCATCAACACCAAACTTGCTGTACTTGATTTCTACGTTGCCATACATGGCAGGAACATCTTTGCGCGTGACGTCGTCGAGATGCAGATCAGTCAGAGTCTCCATGGTCTCCGATGCCAGGGCATCTGGTTCGGTGAATGATTGCGAGGCTCGAGTCTTCTCGCTCAAGAACTTGGGCGCCGACAACGACTCGC